CTCCTTCAGGGATGTTCAGGGATATTCTCAGAGAGTCTTGGACCTTGTCCCCATCATTGTGGCTGGAAGTGGGACCCCTTGGGCATCTGCCTCTGGGATTGCATCACCACTTTCTACTACAGTTGCTGCTTCAGACAGAAACCCATCATAGGCTGAGCAGCCAGGATTGTAGCTCCAGGCAGTGCAGCAAAATCCTCCTTCACTGGATTGTTGTGCGTATCTAGTATCATAGTGAATACGTAGTTGTCAATCCAGAAAACGAGAGTACCCGCAAGGGTTACTGTGAGGTTGTCAAATCAAGTCAAGTCAAGCAAAGCCAATGGTACTAGCTAGCTACTGGTAGTATGAGGTGTCGGTTGCAATGTTGCAATCATCCATTGGCTTTCATTTAGTTATAGTTAGACAATCAAGGATGAGCAAGGCGGAAGTGTGACAAGGAGGGAAGCTGAAAAGGCTTGATCGGAGGACAATGGTTCCAAGGCTGTGGGCTTGTTTTGCAGGAAGAAGAGCGAAACAAGCCAGGAACTGTCTAGCTATTAAATAGTAGCTAGCAAAAGCTGCATCGGATCGAATGATTCAATCGAAGAACGAATGCAGGGACTCCCACGCATCGGACAGCCAAACCGTAATCTGTAGCTTTGCAGTGGCAAGCATCGCATGTACACTGTTGAAACCATCATCACCAGAAGGCGTAGAGTTGTTAGGTGTAGGCTCAAAACCACAGGACTGTATTGCCGCAGCATGCTCTGATGTGTGTGACGACGAGGAGGACTCGTGAGACTTGGCTGGATCCTCCCCGTGAGCGGGACTGGCAGTTGTGCCGCTTTTGTTGTTTTCATTGTTGGCTTGAACATTCGATATTGGATTTTCACTATCATTAGCTAGGTCACTCCCATGTTCGTTGGATAAGGCAACTGCAATCCCCATAACTGTTGTATCCACGTCTTGTTGAAGCTTTTCCATGTTTTGCAAGGTTACATCATGTTCCGACATGTCGTCGATGTTGCCTTCTCCTAGGCATGTGGCGGTACCGTCATTGTCCTCGCTCCAGGAGCATAATAGGTTGGTGCCAATGGCAATTCCAAAGCCTGCAATGTCAAAAGGATGATCTGGATCTGATGACAAAAAGGCCCCCTGGCCCACGCTTTCGACTTGGTCGTTGTGCTCGGGAGTGCTGGCATGGTCGCCTCTCCATGGAGGACATGAGATGGAGAAGTCATCAGTCGGGTTCTGAGCCGCTGAACGTGACCCATCGGAAGACATGGTGTATCTATAACAGTCTCCTCTTGGTGCGATGATTGTTGCATTGCCCCTGAATCCTTCCAGCGGCGACTGATCTTGACGGTCTACCCAGGTCGTTCCGCGGTGAATTGGAAGTGTGCGACCAGAGAACATCATTTCAACTTGCCAGCCAGTACCCTCGCCTACTATATCAAACTCAGAAGGCCCGATGGGCGGTGGCGTGCTGTCGCTGCTTGTAACTGTAGCTGTAGTGACGCCACAGTTGTCCCGTGCCTGGATTGGAGCGTCCGTGTTGTCGTCTTGACACGTAATAATTGGAGGGTGTCCCACAGAAATTTGGTTCCAAATTTTGGGCTGGAAACTCTGGGAGGCCGCGGTGTCATGTGAATGAGGATCCGTTTCTGCTGCAACCTTGTTTGGAGATTTTGGCGCAGGTTGTCGCCGTTGCTCCTGAAGCCATGTTGTTTCTTGAGTAGTAAATGCGTACGGGAAAAACACATTGTCATGGCACTCGTCGTTACGAGCAGAACCAACCGCTACGACGTCACCATGGCTGGAAACTGCGACAAAGTTGACTACTAAAGGACAATCGGCAGTATCAGATTTGACGTTCAGACCATTACCGCCCTGTTCCCATTGGTTGCTGCTGGGATCAGATTCCGAAACTTCCATACCGGTAGGGGGGAACGATCTTCCGGAACCCAGGCCGTGGTCGGCGGGATGTAATCCCGTTTCAGAAGTGGATTGACGCGATTCTGCTGCCTGAACGTCAGGATCTTGCGTATCTTCCCGCCACAAATCGGAAATGAAGGTGACGGTTGTGCCATTGCGATTCGACTGCTGCGTATGGCTGTTGTACCGGTTCCCCAATTCGTTATCGACATTGGAACTTTGGTTTTCGAGCGTTCGAGCGTTTCGCACCCGCCGCAGCAGTATGGAATCGGACCGTCTGCGGGCAAAACCATTGGACGGAGCTGTGTGGCGTCCTTCCGTCCGCAATGAGTAGAGGTAGAGCAACCATGCCGCGGCAACAGAAAAGGCAGTCAAAAGTCGTACCACGACCAATGACAGCCGCGTAGTGGTGGTGGCACGATGATTATTACATGTCCGACGACGATAGCTCTGCAACTTGACCCCCCTGATGAGCGACGCAGACAACAAGCCCATCCTGTTTCCTCTTGGGTACGGTAGGTGCCAAGGTTTTCTGTTGGTGGCCAGGTCCTTATGTATGTGGCAATAGATTGGGACGATTGCAGTTGTGCGTACACGTGTGAGCTCCGAATTCGCGCAGCTTGTGGCGATTCAACGCGTGTTCGTGATCGCGACGGTGCGCCTCGATGTTGATGTTTGTTTGTTGAGAGATCCATCATGCGCAATCGGCACACAGTGTAATGTACCGTATCCAGCCAGCTAAGCTACTGAATAATTCAATTGGAAAGGCGAAGGAAAAACCGAGGTTCCTCTTCGGTACTACCGGTACCAGGCAGTACGGTGATCATGAACGTCTTTACTAATGCAGTGCTACCTTTTGATTGAAACTCTATTCCCCTTCTTGATCCAAAGGCTGTCCAGCAGAAGCGGAAGGAGAGGAGAGGAGGACAGCCTTCAATAGGTCTTGAATCTGCGACATTTGCTCGGACAATTCCGTTTTCATTGCGGCCATTTCCGATTTCATGCCGGCCATTTGAGATTCTGCATCTTGACTCTTCGACTTTAGTTCTGCCTTGAGCTCTTCCAAATCATCTGGGATGGAATCGTCCAATAAATCTTCGCCAAGGAACCTGCGCTTTCCGTCTTTGGCAGTCAAAGAGGCAGTCAACTGTTTCAGGTTGTTGCTGACGTCTTCAAACTTGCTGGTCAACGAAGCCTCAACCTCTTTCACCTTGTCCACTTGATTGTTCATCATGGTCCCAAGGGCGTTGATTCCAGTGTGCGTCTGAGTCTGGCGCTCGGCAATCACATTGTAGACGCTACCCAGGTTTTCCGTCAGAGCCTTTGTCGCCTCGAACATCTCACCCTGGCTCTGAGGATCCAGGTTGCCGCACGTGGTTGCATCCAGTAGGTGGTTTGTCAGTTCCAAAATCTAAAGGACAAGAATCAATGGTGGCGGACTTTTTGGGTGAGATATCTTACTACGACGGCTTCGTATCGTATCGTTCAATGGCGATCACTTACGCTACGAGCAACGCCCCGAGTGATCAGAAAGATCATCATGCTAATGTTCTTGATGCCGGCGCACAGTGACTTGACAATGCCCGTGAGATCTTCCGGGCATTCGAAACCCTCCAATGCATCGTAGAGATCCTCCGTCACCTCAAACGCCAAGAGGAAACCAAAACGAAGAGACTGCCAACTGGTCAATGCATCGGCATTGCATTTCGAGTCCGCTACGTTGATTTCATACGGTATAGCAACAACAAAACACAAAAGGTTGCATGAGGCAAACGCGAACAACAACAACCTTTTTTCTGCCTCAGTGTTGGTCGATGAATCAATAATACACTTACGTTCACCTGCATCCTTTAGCTTAGCCTTTGCCACAGTGACAATGTCCTCGAATTTCTCATCGACCACCTTTCCTCCGTCGGATCCACCAACTCCCTTTCCACCACTTCCAATGGACTTTCCAGAAGAAGGCATTTGCTCAAACACATCATTCATAAAACCAAGCTCCTGAGCGTTCTTGTATTCCTCAATCTCGTCACAGATCTTCAAATCGATTGGGAAGGTGGGGTCGAATCCAAAATACTCTCGAGCGCGACCACACGAGTGGGCATTAGTTGCGTCTGTGATATTTGGCATGTCACTCAGGTATTGCACATAAGTTGGGTTCCATCCCTGCTGTCCCTCCAGGGCTTTTGCGGCCTTCAGATATCGTGCCACGCATCGTTTGAGGGGGCTGCATTCTTGAGCTTCCTCGTACGGGCAAAATGTGCCACCGAAAATATCGCAGGTGCCAACACTGATACCGGCAAGGGAGGGTGCGTAGTTCTTGCATTCGGATTTGCACGTGTATGGTTCGCCCCAGATACCGGAAACGTCGGGGGTGTCAAGACAGCAGAAACCAGGAAGTGCTGGCTTTCGCTCAAGCGTGTAAGTGTCCGGCAAGGTGCATGTAAAGGTAGTTCCTGGTCGGCCTTCCTTTGACTTTTTGAGCATCGAGTCTTTGGTCACGCTGATTGACGTGGTGGGAAACGAATCCATCAAAGCAACGAAGCCGGCTTTGCATCCTATCATCCAGCTTCCAGAGTTGGAGATTGAAACGGCAGCACCACAGTGTAGGGCATCGCCTTCTCCATACGCCGTTTCTTCGGTCCAGTCTTTTGTATTGTAGACCATGGCCATGCCTCCAGATCCACCACCTCTGATTGACCCAACAGCGAGATGTTTGCCATCAGGAGAGATTGCCATAGAACTGCCGACGCGGTGATTTTTCCAGTCAAACTCGACTTGTTTCAGAAGGTTCCACCCCTTGTTGCCACGCTTAAAGGCCTTGAATTTCCCACTGTTTGTGTTGGCACCATTGTTCCAACCAGGAGCACTGGCAACGAAAATCTGGCCGTCTGCTGACATTGAAACAACACTTCCAAATTCAGAACTCCCATCGTCGCCGAAGAAGTCGATTTTGTGCTTGTAGGCGGCTCCCTCCTTTTCCCATACAGAAGCTACACCAGTGCCTTGGACACCCTCGTGAGCATGAGTCTTTCCACCAGCCACTAGCTTGGATCCATCCTTTGACATGGCAACCGATGCTCCTAGTTGGGCGTTTGGTGTGTGCCAAGCCTCAGAAAAGATTTCTTGCCAATTCTTTGGGCTGCGGTGCTCATAAAGGATGACCCTTCCATTGTTTGTTTGATGACCAGGTTGACCAACTAGCAAGAGCTTGCCGTTGCCGCTCAAGGCGAGGCTTGTACCAAAGGAAGAAGTCTTTGTGTTCGAGTCGTTGTCGGCATTGAAGAAAGTCCAGAGTTCTACAGGCTCATCACCATCGATACCAAAGAGGCGAACATGTCCATCATTCTGTTTATCGCCAACCTGGCCAACTGTAGGAGGCGAAGAAAGCAAGAGTCATTGATCAGAACAGAACCAAATTGTGAATCGGCAAATCAAACCCACAATCTAGTATCTGCTCACCAGCAAGTGTTGACCCATCAGCTGAAACAGCAACCTACACGTTTGGACGAACAAATGAGACGGACAAGGATACACTAAGCAAGCCAAGCCGCCATCATTCCATCCAGAAATCCACTTACCGACTTCCCAAAGTTTGGAGAGCAAGAGGCGCCTTTGCATTTGACTGTTAGCGTTGTGGATCCTTTGCGATAGATCGTGACGGCACCCTTTTGCCCGACGGCTTTGACGTCTCCCTCTTCGGACATGGCAAGGCTGAAGTGGGTCCCGAATGCTTCAAACGTAGCCTGCTGCTCACCCTCTAGTAGAGAGCCACCATGATCGCCGCATTGTTTTTCAGCGCAATCTGTGCCGCATTGCTGAGACAAGGTCTTCGTGCACTCGAGCCCATTCTGCGCGAAAGAACCAGACCAACCAGAGGGACAACCCTTACCATAGAAGCAGGTGAAAGGCGTTTTACTGAAGCTTGTGTCCTTAAAAGTGTTGTCGACGTCTGTGATCCACTGGCCTCCTGTATCGGCACATTGCTTCTTGGCACAATCCTCTTCGCAAGCCACTGTGTACTCTCTGACACACCGGATTCCATGTGTTTGCGAACTTGGGTCAAAGTTCTTGGATTCCTCCGCTAACTCCCAATCTCCCGGACAAAAAGCTTCATCAAACTTGACCGGTTCCTTGCCAACCTCTGCAAGTGCAGCTATCTGTCCCGGTGAGGTGTCTCCAAAGACGCTGCGGGTGGAGTTGAGCAAAGGGTCGATTGCGTTGCATCTTTTGAAGTTGAATGGAAGTGGATACCTGAGGAAGAGATATCCAAAGGGTGAGATGTTTTTTGTCTTGCAAGTGAGAAGAAGAAGCGCTGTTGACATACGAGTATGAATCGACCCCGTTCTTCTGGCAAACCCATTTGCTTTCACCAAACTCAGTCTTGACACTCGGGTCTCCGCCTGAACCACTTGATCCAATCCAGCTACAATAGTAATTGCACTGGCCGCATTCATGAAGATCATACCAACCAGCGTACCTTAGGAGAAGAATCGCAATGATGAGGAAACACATTTGAGACAAAGACAATCATCAGATAGCAACAGCCCTGAAGAAACTTACTCGTCATCAGCACCTTGTTCAGCAATGGATGGGCGTGGGGAGCATGTCAAACCGCTGAGGGAATCTTGGGCTTCTTTCATCATGGCATTTATGTCATCCCAATCATCCCAGATATTACCAACATCGATTCCTCCTTGGAACAGCCACAGCTTGTGGGGGTCCTGAATTTCTCCATTGAAGACGGCAAAGGCTGCTCTTTTGCCTGCTATTCTTCCCAGAGCCATAAGCGTTGAATGGTAGCTGTAGAAGTAACCCTGCACTCCGTGTCCCTGCCACACAATCAGGTAGAACAACGACGCAATCGATTGTTGTGCCACTTCCAACTGCCTCCGTTCCTCTGCTTGATTGTCATAGTTTATGATATATCCATCTCTCATTGAAAAAGAATCTTCATCGATCTGGATTTCACCATTTTGAACCACAAACATCTGGAATGATTCTCCACGGGCGTGAACCCGCTTTCCTTCTTTTAGGAGCGTTTCCACATCAGAAAAGAAACCAGTGACTACAGCCTTGTCTTCAGAACCAACCACAAAAATGAAAAAGACATCATTGGAATCTGCCCAGCTCTGAGCCACTCTTGTTAGCCGTTTCTTGTCAGCATCATTGTCCCAGTGCTTCGCAAAACCTTCTGTGTTGGTGATGGCTGGGTCCATGGCGATCCCATCTTTGATCTCAACAATGCAACGGGAACCCTTCTGGTTACTGAGCTCATCCTTGGCATCGTTCAAATCATAGAAAAAGAAATCTTTGACAACATGATCGCCAGCGACCAATAGAAAATAGTCTCTGAACTTTGGGATCCGAGCAATGTCCGGTGTTTGGGTGGCATTGACGAACAGCTGCGCGTGCCTGACCAGTTGGTTGACATCATCCCAGTCATCCCACTTGTTATTGAAACCATTCTTTTTATCCTGCTTGTAGCCAGCAATTTCGTGTGGGTCAGGGTTCACATCCCCGTTCTTCACTTCCAATATCAGCCTGCTTCCTCCAAGAGCAACGGATGCACCAAGGTAGGTTTTGGCTACAGGGAGGTCCGTAGTTGGAAGCAAGTATATCCCGCTACCACCAATCACCAAAAAAGGTGTGCATACGGAAACCTTGGGATTCGATGAGGAGCACTGAAGGTCTCCATCAATCCCAATCCCACCGTTCTTAAGATTGCCGGGACAGATATCTCCCTTTCCATACTGTGGAGCACGACAATGCGAGAAGGCACCAAGTGTAAAGGATTGGCACACTCCACCAACTTACCATTTGAGTCAACTCATTCAAGTTTTGGACATATCCTTTTCCGTATGAGTAGAATTCCTCGAGATTCACTCTCAGCTCTGGGCGGCCTTCGCTATCTTTGGAAAGCCCATGCACTTCTTTTGGGAATCTGACTCCTTCATCTGCATCCAGATAGACAAATGGTTCGTCCTTGTGTTTGACTTGATCACGCGTATCATACAACACTTTGGCAGCCTCCAGAGTCTCTTGCAGAACACGAGTTGCGGCCTTTTCGCCAATGTGTTCCTTGATCAGATAGAGATCAATCTTTTTGGTTGTGCCACTGGCATAGCACACCTCACTCACTGCACCTGCTCTCCAGTTCCAATAGTCGGGATCTTTGGTCGCTTCGTTCTGGTGGAACAGATCGAGCAAGTCGGAACATGCTTGTTCTCGTTGCTGTGTTTCCTTTTGTTTTTCGACCTTGGCAATGGCAGCCTTAATACTAGCTTCGACTTCCAAAATGTCAAAGTCACGTGGTACCCTAAAGTTTTCTGCAAATCTCCCCGAGGTCGTGTCAATATAATCGGAAAAATGGTAAAAGACCATATCGTACAAATTCATGGTTTTGGCGCAACTCAAGAAAAGGTCGCATTGAGCCCGTTTCTGCGTTGAAGTCAATTTTCGTCTTCCATTCTTGAGATTGTCGGGACGATGATACTTTTCATGCATATGATCACCCTTGCGCAAGACACGCTCCCGAAGACCACCAAAGTTGCCAGTGTGGAGATCTTCCATGGCATCAAAGATATGGCGGCTGTGGGGATTCGTTGAGGTGTGTTTTCCTTTCCAGGAACGATACTGACGGTGATCCTTGAATCCATGCCAGTGCTGATCCGCGTCATCACGTTCATGGTAGACTTTCCACGACTTGTGGTAATATTCGCCATCAGAGGCGTCCTGATGAGCGAACGATGTTGGCTTGAATCGTGATGCACTGAAATCGTCGTCCATGGCATAATTGTTCAAACGACGATGACTACGACGAGTTTTGGCCTGAAGAGGGCTGGAGTTGTCTGGCTTGTGAACATCCGCAGTGTTGATATCGACTGTCTTGTCATCTGCCATGTCGTCCAGCAGCTCTAGAACATCGTCCGTCATGGATTCAGCTGCTAGCATTTGGTTTTTCATTTCCGAGACGAAGGGAAGGAACATGGTAGTGTTGGAAGTTTCCATCAATGAGAGGATCCTCTCTACAACCGAGAAACTCCTCTGGATCTCTTTGACCATGGTCACCTTCTCGTCAAAGCTTGCCTTGGACACGGCAACAGGATTGGCTGTCATGGCCACGTGGAAATCTTGCATTTCCTGGGAGGAACGAAAGAAGCAAAGAATGTTGGTTGTTAAGAAGACATGTGCAGTGCATGGTATCCACACGGGAAGCGAGAAGATGCTTGGCAGGCATTGTTACATCATATAGTCTTACCTGATAGAAGGCTTCCATTTCGAGGGGGGAGCCGTCTTGCTGGCCCCACTTTTCAGCGAATGCATCCACTGCATCCGAGAACTTGTCCGTGCGCTGATGCAACGCGAGAGCGGCACCCTGGCTTATTGAATCATCAGGCTGTACGCGACCAGAGTTTCGCAAGAATCTCTGCTTGGATGATGGAACGGCAACGCCCTGAGCTTGAACTCCATTGATTAGCAGCAGGCACACACATGCCGCGGCGCCGGTCACAGAAATGAGCCAGGAAGACAGTTGAAACTTCATGATAGATACTTTGCTTTTGGATTGGTAAAGATACTTGAGTTTTTGCTTGTGTTTGTGTGTGTTTGTGTTGTTTTTGTGTTATGTTTTTGTTTTTCGTCTCTCCGAGTTGTGAGCCAAAAGGTGAGCTCAACTACCGTGCCGTACTACCTTAGCAGGAGACTGGAAGGTTTCGTCCAGTGGAGCCATGCTGAATGCAAGACAGTACCTGGTAGCCAGCCAAAGACGAAAAGGTTTGTACTGTGCATGTACTGGTAGATCCTGCGAGTCATGCTTCAGTCATGATATCTTGGCTTGCTTCCTTTTCAAAGGTGCTTTGTTCCCGCGGTCCCAGTTGGCACTTGGGACTTAGTCGAGTCGAGTCGAGTCCATGACGATCTTGCTGTTCTTACTGGACGACTTCAGATCTTGTGTGCGTCCCGAGCTCTCAGGTCTCTTGTGTGTCGAGTGTGGTCGACCTGTTACCGGTACATGTACCGATAGCTAGCGAGTCTATACCAAACCTCAAACCACAGAGAGCAAGGAAGTTACTTGATGCATCTTCTACCCAAGGCTGCAATCAGAACTAGCAATTTCAAAAACAGCACGCCGTTGATCTTTGGTGCAGCAAAGGACGAGGGGTCATGGTTAGTCTTTGTTGTGAGGGCATTTTGATTGGATTGCGGTCCTTATATTGTTAAGAAAGCAGCCAAGCGTGGTGTCTAGATCAACCCTGCCGGCGCTCGTGAGTGCAAAAAGATTTCAGAAACCCATTTCCCAGCTCCCACTTCTATGATATCCCCACTGCGACAAGCATAATCATCATGATTGCGGAATAAAAGATTGCAAATACTAGTCTACTCAGTAGAAGATACGACGTACTGCGTCAAGCAAGTACCAGCACTCTTAATAAAATAAGCATCATAAATAAATAGAACGAGAAGCAAGGCATTTAGTACCCAAAGAACAAGCAAGCAAATCCGGAAGCAAGTGGACACACAGCAGGCAGCCAAGCAAGGAAGCAAAGGCACGCTCAGAGAATGCATCTGACCTGTCCTTCCTCTAGCTAGTTTGCTTGCAAGCCAAGTCGGAAAGATCTGAAGGTACTAATCCCTGAACAACTTACTCTGATGCAATTACTCTAGAAATAACTATCATCCCGTCCCTGATGATGCAAAGAACTAAGATTTGATTCCCTGGTTGCCTTATCGGATATCGGATACCTGAAAAGACGGTAGCCCAGCCAAGCAAGGCTTTAAGGGAACAGCAATAAGGGTCGACTGCTCCCGGAATTCTTTGCCGGCGCTTTTGGACTGCCACTGCTCGCTCCGCAACCATGTTCGCATCACGTCAATCGAAGTTGGCATGCTTTCTTTCTTTCTTACAGAAACCAAGTTCATCACGATGAGCTCATTTCCATCAAAGTACAGTAAAGCAAGCCGCAGCACACATCGTGCATTCAAAGAATGATCGTTGATTCACTACGGGAGCTAGTCTAGTGGACTACTGGAGTACGTAGTACGTAACTATAGACTGAAGACTAGCTAGAGTAGTCTAGACTCTAAAGTAGCCATCCATCTGGCATTCCAAGAGCAACCAAATGATGTCATTATTTTGCTTTCTGTAGACTGGACTACTGAGTATGGAGCTCTATCAGACTACGTATGCTCTTCTAGCCAGCTACTATTAATAGTAGTACCATACAGTAGTACTAGTATGGACGGAATAAGTGCGAACGTTGTTGAAGCTTCAGCTGTTGAAGGAACCACGATGTTTTAACAAAACCAAACTTGATCTTGACCAAGGTCAAGCAAGGTTTAAATCACCGGATAGTTCAGTGGATGGAGCAAACCGAAGAACGATTTCACGCGATCTCAGTGATATTTTTCATCCACTTAAGTACACTTGGTAAGCATCTGACACGACCATCTCATTATCAGGCATCGAAGTGACCTTTGTGAAATTATGAGTACCAAAGCATAATTCCAATTTTTTATCAAAGACTGACAAGTGCTCCAGGAATGCCTCACGGCACAAAGAGGTTCGAAGAAATGTCTCATCTGTGGAGAGAATAGTTTCTTGGTGGCGATACTTAAGGGCACCAAGAGGCTACTTTTGGCCATCAGGTAAGAAAGTTACGTTCCTGTGGAGCCTTCACTTGTTCTTTGCAAGGTTCAAAAAATTTGTCATTGGCCGAAACTCTTGCTGTAGATACTGTGCCATCATTATCGTAGAGTAGACTAGTCTCGTTTGCACGCAAATTCAAGAATTCGTGGTGCATCCGAGCAATTCGTTCTCTTGGCACTGTGCATTTTGAAGTACAATTGGCATCGGTACGAGAAGCGAAGGGAAACCGCAAACGCTTTTTGATGGCTTGCTACTTGCTATGCTTGGATCCATCAAAGCTGAAGCCACGGTAGCTCGACATCATCCGGAAGCCATCAGCCCCCATCACACAAATTCTCATCTCTCTCACAAATACTCGTACTACTTTCTATCTATCTATCTACTAGCTACTAACTAGCTCAAGATACCCAAGTATTAACCATGACATTGTCAACATTCCTTTATCAGCTCCGCCATGATCACGAGACTGGACTATCACTAGCATCCTCTGAATGCCAAGCGGATGCTACCTATAACTCAGGTGGTACCGGTACTACCAGTACCCCCACACGCTTTGTCCTGTGCATAGACAATGCTAGATCCCACGGGGTATGTTCGGTGCAACCACAGAATGAAGCTACTAGCAAGAAGAGACGATCCAGCCATGGCACTATCGACCGTTGGCAACCTGCCCCCATCCAAGCCAAGCCTATATCCCCCGTAAGTACGTGTAGATCCGAGATGCAAGCTACTACTACTGCTACTACTAGCAGTACTAGCAGTGCGGAAGGAAGCTGCAATCGGTGGGAAAGCTGCCCCAAGCGAAAGCAAGACCAAGCTGCTCCAGCGTCTCCCCCCAGGCATGCTAGCAGTGGTACTAACAGCAGCAGCAGACGCGGGTCTCCTTCTCCGCCTAGCCTCAGCAGTACCTTTAGCGGTAATGGTAACTGCACCAGCACAAGCAAGCCTCAGTTGCCCAAGAGAACGGCGTCTCTGGAATGTGATCAGAGATCTCCTTCTTGTTACTATGGCTCTTCTGCTACTACTGCTGCTACTGTTGCTACGGTGGAGGATGACGGCAGCAGTACCAGCTCTACTAGCAGTGGCTACAGTGCTTGCAGTACTACTAGTACTAGTAGTAGCTCCCCAAGCTACCATCCCGTCTTGGTCATGGCATCTCGCGAGCGCATCCGCAAGAGGCAAGGCCAATCCCTGCTGCAAAAACAGTGGAGGAGGGATGACTGTCTTCGAGTAGTATCCGGCAAGAAGGTGGAAGGAGCGCCTCCCACGTTGCCCCAACGAACCACACTTGAGATATTGGACATGGCTCTGCAAGAAACTAGTACCAGTAGTCCGACCATGTCGTCGATCGCTGCCTAGTAACCTAACCTGACCCAACTAAAACTAAAACAACCCGGCAAATAATGTTATAATAATCGATCAATCCATTCAAACCATCGTAGACTGACCAGCGTAGCAAGCAGGAGGAAAAACGGAGATTTGGCATCCATTGCTTCGCTCCTTCGCTCAAGTCTTGGGATCCTCCTTGCCAATTCTGATCCTTGACATGGCTGCTCGACATGGCCTCTACTACCTACTAGCTCGATAGTCTGCACGGGCAAGCGTGGATAGGGTTGAATAGGCGCCGCCCGCCGCCCCAGCTTGCAACATGCACTTTCAAGAGCTCTTTCGACTTTCAAGCCATTTGTCAGATGGGTTCGTCTAGACTACCGGTAGTCTACATGTACCATACCGTACCGAAGCACTGCTCATGCGATCGGCATTGGTGTCCACGTGGCTGCGTCAAGCCGCTTTGCTGGATTAACGGGAAAACCCGTCCGAGTGACGTGACGAGTCCAATGTGGTCCTTGGCCAGCCCACTATTGCAAGATATCAACAACACTCGGGAGATGTTCTCTTGAATCTCAATCTCTGATTGTGCCTGTACCAGATCGAAGCGTCTGAGGACTACATAGTACATTGGAGTCAAGCAATTTAAATGAAGCCAAAGGTGGCTGATATGCATGGCAAGGCACTCTTCCTTGAACGAAAGGAAATCCATGCAAGCAAAGGCTACACACAGCGAAGGGGGGAGAGTAGTAAGCTTATCTTCCAATTCAAGCACAACATGAGCAAGGGAGCTGCTGAACTAGCTAGAATGTAAACTTCAATATAGACAAATAGAACAAATGACTACAATAAGACGAATTTAAATTTCACATACAGAGACAAACAGAAGCAAACAGAATGGCTGAAATGGAAACACCTTGACAATCATTCAAAACCAGCGCATTAATCAAACAAAAAGCCTTCCAAATAGGCCACTGCACCCTGCCACCAAGTGAATGCCCTATTAACCAAACTGGTCTGTGCAGGGCTTCCACCAGTGCCCAGGTTGCCAACTTGAGGCAATGGATTCAGGATAGGTGAAAATGTGGGAAACTCTGTTTGTCCCCACATTTGGACAAGTCCATTACCTTCTAGACCTCCTGAAGGAATGTCGTCATAACGGGGTGCTCCAACAAGGACTTTTGTGCCATCTCCAGAAACAGCAACACTATATCCCAAATTATCAAATTCACCGATGCCATCAATATCAAAGCCTTGGGCCCTGCTGATCTCTTGAATGACCCAATCAGTGCCATCAAACTTGTAGATGCGAGCATAACCACGAGCAGGATTAGTATCGCTGAAAAAATGTACAGATCCAGCCACCAGGGTTTTGCCATCCTCAGATAAATCAATAGAGGTCCCAAAGTAATCATCTTGTTCGTCCCCAATGATATCACTATATATGAATGTATCACAAGCCACAGGGGGCAGTGTCAGTAGAGTAAGTAATCCACATCTCACACAACATCACACATCTCACACAGCACTCACGTACACACACCTACACACACACACAAATGCGGCATGCACATTTCACAGTCCTCAATGCTTACCTTCCCAACTGGATCCATAATTGGTCAGTTCTTCGAAAGACTTGCACCCTGCCGACTCTTCGAGACCCATCAACATCAAACCCAGGAGAACCAACTGCAACGATGCTTCCATTATAGTTTAGAGCCACCGAATCAACAAAAAGGTCATTGATAGTGGACCCAAACATCGCTCCACCGTTAACATTAGATTGTTGGATAAAGCCGTCATAATGGTAAACACGGCATTCACCAAACCTTGTGGAGTCAGAATCAGAGGGTCCAGATCCGGGCATTCCAACAGCAAACCATTCGCCATCTCCAGAGAGTGTTACAGACCACCCCACCCGTGCAAATGTGGTTTCTCCATACAGTCCAGAAAGTATGGAGAAATCATCACCACGATAATCCTCACGAACCCAGTCAATGCCATTCCAGAAGTAGGTTGTTGCAAACCCAATCTCGTCTGCAGTTGGAGTAGAATAGGCCCAAGCCCCAACTGCAATTTTGTTTCCATCTGCTGTGAGAGCAATGTCCACTCCAAATAAATCAATTGGTGATCCATCCAACTGAACACCTTGGATTGTACTGCCTCTTTGCAACCACATCTCTGTGCTTGTGTCGTATTCAAACACAACAACAACTTCATTGTTGGGAGAGCTGACAGCAACAATGCTGCCATCTCTTGATATTGCAACTGAACGTCCACTAGTTAGGTAAAAAAAGATCGGAAAACTTGTCAAGTCTTGACCTTTCTGGGTCCATCCATTGGCAGCGTTCTCGTAGACATGAATGGTGCCAGTTCCTTGTTCACGGACCACTATGGTTGTGCCTGTCCGGTCGATGGCCACAGACTCTCCAAATTCTCCATTATTGGTATCTCCCACAAGATTGCCTCCAAACTGGACATATCCGCTGATGGGAGCCAGCTGACGATGCTCCGCATTCAGGTCTATGATGTGCAGTGCATACTTTTGAGGTTCACTGGTTGTACCAGTACCGTGCACTGACTTGAAGAGAATGGGTGCGATGACACACAGCAGGATATTGAGAGTCCACAACATGGTTGATTCCACAAAAGATTTGATTCAACAGAGAGCAGATGGATGCATGTGGAGGGGAATGAGACCACATCTACTAATATGCTTATCTGAGCCTTGGCGTTTCCCAGTGTGCTTGAGGTTGATTCAACGTTTCAAGGTGCTCCATGGCGCATGGCGTCAAGTAACTATAGCTAGCCATGAACTCACTAGTCTAGCTAGTGTCAGTTGAATATATCCGATCTCAATGCATGATGATAGGTACTACCGTACTACATGTACCATACCGGCAGTACCTGGTAGTTGTCGACGAGATCTCGAAGAAGTGCCCTTTGCTGATAGTATTACGTGTCGACTCGACTCGACTCGTCACTCCGTGCACCGTGCCACTTTGGCCAGCCCTCCAAGATATCAAACAACACTCGGGAGCTGTTCCCTCGTTGGCAAGTCAAGTCGATCTTGGAGCTCAACGGATTCGATTGTGTGATGTCTGAATAATGGGGGACGCCGCCATTGCATACCAAAAGGGCCAGATTGAATTCCACCAGCCAACGTCTCCATAATGGATCGAGCTGGGAGGAGCTGCTCCATGCATGCATGCCCCCTACAAAAAGTTCGGTGCACACCTTGGCTTTCGTACGGTAGGATCAAGCAAGGAACTGACAAGACAAACATTGCTGTTGAAAGGCGAGGCCCAAGGAATGGCTGGCTGATGCACACGCACATTTGCCAATCTCTCGAGAGATCTGGTCCTGGGCCGTTTTGATAGCAACTCCGAGAAGGAAGCCTATGCATACAACCAGTATATATATATATATGCAACGAACAAAGCCACGGCAGAAAAACAACTCCGATTGTTGAAAATCTACCGCTTGATTGGAAAGGTGGTACTGTACTAGCTAGCCAGCTAGTACTACCAGTTTGGCTTAATAAAAAAATAGGACAGCACACTATTCTGGTATACACAGCTGCACTCCGTCGCCCGAGCAAGAAAAATGGCAGACAAACTAACTGGTAATGCATATATGCGAAAGCTGCCCATTGCTCCAACTCGCACGTCTTGGAGCCGAGAGAATGGCTGGTCTGAGTTTATTGTGATTCAATCTGAGCGAGATGAAGAGCAGTCCGAACTATTCATTCATTCCTTCGATTCAATCATTCAGCTTGTCACTCTTGATGTACATGTATGTGTCTGTTTGGAAACTATCCATCCAAAAAGCCTCACAGCATGCAGCATGCAGCATGCTTGCTCCGTTATCAAGAGAGGATGATGCTGCAGTTGCATCACAACGTTGGAAGTTGGAAGCAGGACATCCAAAGGAACTGTGATTGATTACTAGTAGACAGTGGCGAGTTCGTACCGGTATCATGTGTGACTGGTTCCCTGTAGACGACTACTCGAGTGCAAGTACTTTAAATACTAAGTACTACAGTACGGTACTGTAGCACTCTGTACATTTTATTTTAAAAAGCCTTGCTCTCGCTGTCCTGTCTGTTTTCCCGCATTATCGCTGAAAGATCCGGTGGTGGCAAGAGGTGGGAACAGGTTGCAAAAGTAGGGACGTCATAAGAGTGGTAAAGGGCACACTTGGCGGTAAATCATGTCGTTGACGTTGGTTGAAGTCGGCGGATGGTGGTAAACAGTGCTAGCTACCTAGCCGGTGAAGCAAAAGTGTTGCCGGAAATAGTATGATAAGTTGGTTTGAGCCACTCCCCAGCAACAAGATGATGTTCATGTTTGTGTCGACTGAAACCACCAAGCCAGCAGCGGGGCTAAATGTAATGAGAGTCTTTTGCTGAAGGGCCGCCACAGAACAGGATTTCGCAAGACCGCTATACCACCAAGTTTTCAACGCACTACTAGTACCATGGCAACAGCAACAGCAACAGCCACTACTACAGTATACTAGTACTACTGCTGCTGCTACTGTACAACAACCACATTATCCATCGGCAGAGCAGTGGCAAACACAACGGCTAACGCTACAGGTACCGCTAAGCACGGCCAAGGCGAATGCGGCATAAGAAAGCTGCAAAGCTGTTAAATGTTTGGTCGCTTGTACTGTTCCACCCACGCATTCGAGGTCATGACGTCACGTTTGACGTCGTCTACAGTATGCCAGTGTCAGTACGTACCGGTATCCAAACATAACGAAAGAAACACTGTACATGACTGCTCTGACGATGACGTGGTCAGTAGAAAGGAGCTGAAAACACAGTGAGAAAGTGAGAAAACCGAGATTCAGAATTCAGAAAACGCCTTTTTGTCTCCCGCTTTACGAATCCTCTAATTTGGAAGTTCCCTTGAAGGCTTTTTTGGCCTATTTTATTCATGAATCTGGTCATTCGCTCCTGCTCCTGAGACTTGGATAATACTGGTCATCCAATTTTCAACCAAACTAAAAAATCAACATGGGTCTGATGCGGCTTGGCCAATCTATCTATCTTTACAGTAACCTCATCGCAAAGAGGCTCCAGTACCATAAAAACAACAACATCTATTTAGTATTTATTTCCACACAAAGAACAACAAAGACCAACAAACAACCATGATGAACAAGCTACCGGTACAGATTAATATTCACAACACATTCCAAGTACTTTTCTTCTACACTTTGCTTGGCTGCATCCATGAAGCCTCCCACTTGGTCGCTGCCTACTTTCTCCTATTGAGAGACTCGGATACCCTTACCGCTATAGATAGTTCGGAACATTCCTTACTACACTTGGCACGAGCAGTACTGGGTCGACAACTGGTCCTCACCAGTGGCAATCCTACGAGTGCTACAACTACTAGTAGTACTGCCTTGGTCCGCCATGCCGGCTGGATTGCTAGTTGTTTGGTGGCGCTTGTGCTTCGCAGGTTGTGTTGCAATAATGGCCCTAACTCTACCAGAACCTCTGGGAAGGCAACAATGCTGCCATGGAGAAAGACTCTGATGCTGACCGCATATGCCACGGCTCTGGAAGCCATTGTCACGGATCTACTGGAACTGGTGCCACAGGCTGCTGTCACCAGCTGTACTAACAGCCACTACTGCACCGTCGTGTTTTACTGTGGCAACTTTGGCCTGATCTTGCTGAATCCGCTCTGGCAAAGCAACGACTGCGAGGCAGCTCTTCACATGCTCCAAAAAATGATACAAGTCACCATGATCCGTGGAGCTCAAGCAGGTGGAGTGGTTACCTTTGAGCAACCAGCATCGAATCCAAATGCTACGCGGGCCATTCGCAGCCGTGTCGTCAACCGCAAACGAACCGATCTCTCGGAAGGAATCATTGCCAAGGTCAAGCGCGACTATAAAATTAATAATCGGCCCTACTTTTGGCAATCCTCCTCCAAACAGAACAACAACACTGCTGACATGGTCAAGCTATTTGCTGGTCACACGAGATTTGCAACGTCCAGCATCTCCAATCTAGATGGCACTCATCCACACCGATGGTCGCCCACGGCTACCAGGAGGGTGTACGACTTTTTAACGGCACAAGCAAACAATGTACAGGTTGAAAACCACATTATGCACAATGGTGAGTTACACTATACGTACCAGTGGTCATTGTTAAGGAGTCGATTTCTCGTCATGATGATGTCCCGGCACTCACTCACTCCGTTTTCTTCCGTGACATCTCATTTGCTTTCTTGTTGAACAGGAGACTTTGAGTTTTATGAGCTGAATGGAATGTCGTACGATCTCGAGATTGTTCAAGACTTTCTCGCGGACGTCCTATGTGAACCCATGCCGTCCACCACGGATTCTTGCGCCATTGCTGGCTTTTTAGACCTCATTCGGACACAGGGGTGCTTCAGTTTATCTGCACGCTACGCTCTCGCGGTCGGGATGCCCTGCTCTTCGATGGAATCCAACAGCACCTTTGATCTTCCACGATCCTTTGACTTTTACGAACAAGTGGGTGCCATCTTTGAGGCTTGTCTAGAAAAGTATCTGAGCAGTTCGTCGTCGTCGTCGCGGGTCGAAGCGCTCCAAGCATTGGCTCGTGACAAGCGACTCCGTCAAGGACTCATCAAAGTCATATGTACCGCTCTGCCAGCACACCAGCACCTGTTCCAGCCAATGGTTCCATTTCACATTTCCGAATTCACAAAAGAAAACGAGCAGGAAGACGTCGAACTGGGCAACCAAGACCCAAAGAGTGTTTATCGCTTTGTTTCTGCAGCGGTCCACGCCTTTTTTGACAATGATCTCATGCAATCCACCAAAGAGTTCCTTTCCAATGCTCGTGGATCCTTTGGCCTCTGTGTCGTTTCCACGCTCGATGCAAAGTCCCAAATGTGCTTGGCTGCACAAGGACAAACCATCTCGGTCGCCTTCTACCCCAAGTCGGGATTGGTATTGTATGGATCCGAACAAGCTGCCGTCAAGGCAGCCATGAATGTGGATGCCCCTGGTCATGGCAACGTGGCGGACGATGCTCGTGCTGCTGCTGATGATGATGATAAAGATGTGGACAACGCCCTGGACCGTCTTGCAGCTCGCTTGGACCTGGACGATCTGGCAGGTGAAATTTGTCTTTTGGACTGGAGTACGAACCGTGGCAACGACGACCAGATTGTCAGCCGTCCGAATCGCCATCTGATGGTGCACAACATCATGAACCAGACATTGCGAGTGGTGCTTTGCAAGCTCAACCAAACCACAGGCAGCAGCAACATCAACGGCATGGACAAGAGTCTCTTTCACAGAATGACTCTGCTAGAAGGCAACGACTTTATTCAACCACTCCGAAAGGACCCTGAAGATATTGTGCTATCCGATATTCAATCCATCCCACGAGTTTGTCAGGCCATTCAAAAGGTACGCGGGAAGATAGTCGTTTCTGTGTCGCCATGTCGCTTTGCTGTCGTCCTCCTGACACTTACTTTTCCTGTAACTCCCAAAGAATTGGCAAAACGAAACAGCGGACATCAGCTTCAATAGGCTGACTGCTTTGGCGCTCTCCCGAAGTCTCATCCGCCGACTGGATGCCATTTCCTCGGGCAGGCTCCAGCAACAGCCGGGATCCGTTGATATTCTCTTGACTGGATGTGAAGTATCCCTTTGGCTTGCTGAACAAATGGCCTCGGACTTGAAGAAGGCTCTCACAAAGCTAAACGTCCTGGCTGTGAGTTCCAACAAGGTATTGGGACTGTTCGGCCAGGAACAAAGCATTCCGGCGATTGGCTTTCCCATGTCCCCACAGACTCACGTCTTATCCGACACAATCGTGATCATACTAAGTCATTCGGGAGGGACCTTTGGGCCACTGCAGTGCAGCAACCTCTTGCAGAGCGTGACCCGCAACATTTTTGCAGTGACTTCCGAGTGGGATTGCCAGATTGGGAAGCAGTTGCGATCCATGTACGATCCCGACAACGAGACTATAGCCGACTCGAGCCGACTCTTTACCACGGGGGTTGGGCTGGCTCCCGCTGAGCCGTGTTCCTTGAGTGTCGCAGCCATGCAGCAGCTACTGACGCAAATTTTTGTGCATATTTGCATCGTTGGGACCAGCTCTCCCCGTCACAGACACATTCTTGGCGCTGTGATCACTGAGCGCGATCTGCAGATTTTGGAAAGATGCAATCGCGACAACATTCAAGCCCTGGAAGAAATTGTCGGTGTCGATGCCGAGGGCAAGCGATTGAAGACAGCCCTGACTCAAACTGTCAGGGATCTGCGAGCAATTGGTGATCGATGGAGTGAGCACGTCTTGGAGAACGCAAAAGCCTACATCATGTCCTTTCTGTACATTGTGATCACTGTCACAACTGGATGGCCTCTGATCAGTGGTATCGGACATGCCGCTGGCGCTGGCAACTCTGAATGGCTGGTGTATATCTTGCGCTTCCTCGATTCTTTGCTGTACTTTTGGCTTCCTCAAATCAACATTACAATCCTGCGGCTCCTGCAGGGACGCGATTTGCTCCATCGCATGGTTGGAAGAACGGTTGTCATTGGCGATATTCCCTGGGTTGCAGCCTCAGCAGAAGCTTTCCTGAGTAAGCTGTTTGCCTGTTCCTACTCCATCGCCGGGCTGAATGTGCACAGCGCCAACCCCAGCGACCATTTGGTCCACAGACATACCCACCGAGTCACACGTGGCACTCTGTTGGTCTGTGGACGCCCTGATGGCCGGCTCATGGCCCTTTCGTCATTGGAGAATTCTGTCCTGCTCAGTGTCAACCAAGCCAGCAGCATCCAGAGCTGGGGCGGAAGGTGCGAGTCTGTGACAATTGGACACAATCCTTTTGAAAATGGTCTTTGCTACAAAAACATTTTCCTTGCTCGGCATCGTCCGCTGTTCCTTTGCGAGCGAATCCTGGACATGACTGCCTCGCCAGCTCTTATCATCCCTCCTGAATCTGAACAAACATCTGCTCTTGCAAAACTGGCAACCAAAATCCCAGGATTGACTAGAAAGAACATCCATATCTCCGAGTCCACGATGGACTCGTCTGCCTCCTCTTCTTCCTCCGCCAACAACAGCAAAAGCCGACCGACGAGAGACGCAATGAAAAAGTCTGTATCCATGTCGAGCTCTGCCCTTATGGGGCGCTATTCCACATTGAAAATGCAGCACAAAGTTTCCATGACGAGACTTCGAAATCGAATGCTGCGCGAAGCCCACGAACGGGAGCTGTTGAATCGCAGCCGTCACAAGGAATGGGATCTGCTGCTACAAGGCCACAAAAAAATTCACCACGGCAGCCACCACGGGAACAACGCCTTTCGCAATTGGCTGGACTCTAGTATTCGCAGCCACCACAAGAATGGACATGGACTGGACTCCAGCATGCGTAGTCGAGATTCGAGCACTCACAGACGAGCCCACCCAAACGCTCACGGCGTACCCGCCACTAATCACCACGCCATGGAAGTCAATGACATTCTGGCCGAAATGCACTTGGAGCAAACAGAAGTAGCCGTTGCTCAGCGAGTGTTTGAAGATTACGACGAAAACAACAATGGCGGGCTGGACCTGAAGGAGTTTTTGGCAGCTTACAAGTTCATCGACCCGGCACTCTCGACCGACGAAGCGACTCGTCTGTTTGAGGAAGCCGACTTGAACGACTCTGGCGAGCTGTCCTTTAACGAGTTCCTCCGAGTCCTTACAACCCCTCAACTGAAGCTTCAAGCAGCCAAGAATAGGTCTATCCGAGATCACGTGGGTCTAGTGTCTGTCAAGCCCACAGAGGGAAAGTTCTTTGACGCAGACATTTACAACAAGGAAATCGCTGGTGTCTCCAAGATTGCATTGGCCAAAAGCGAGAGCTTGAGCATGGAACTGTACGAGGCCAGGATTGCCTCTCTACAACGGTTTGTGTCAATGTGCGTGATGTTCCACCAACTAGGTCATCGTGTGCAGTCTTTCTTTTCTACAATCAGCTTTGGCTTGTGGGGGTATCGAATGGATCGTACCCACAGCATAATGAGAGTGGCAACGACAGCAAGTCCCGCCAGTGGTGCCAATGTACGACGTCAAATGGAAGTCCTTCGAATGTTCCATGTTCTGAATCGAGCGGCCCACACAATTGGGGCGGCATGGGCTCGATACAAGCAGAGAAAAGTGCAGAGACTCCTGGAACTGGACAGTCCCAGGTAGACTTGATGTAGATGTCTATAGCTAATCTAGCTAGCTATAGTAGCCAATCCTCCTAACTGGCTACTAGTAGATACCTAGCTACCGGTAGCCAGATGAAAAACAAATACTATAAATAGATACGTTAAGGAGCGAGGGGGGCGAATCTAGGCAGAGCAGGGGCTTCGGTGGTGGGGGGCTTCGGTGGTGGGTGGCTGTGGTGGTGGTAGCCAGATAGATAGAAAAGACAGGCAAGCTTCCTCTTCGCCTTGGTTCTCACCACCCAAAAGAGTATCTTGCATTTTAACCTCGGCGGTCTCGATCCACATCCCATACTGCATTGTAGTAGTTGACTTCTTTGGAGTCCACAACAACACTACGACTACTAGACTAGTACCGTACGACTTGGAGAACAATTAATTGCTGCGCGAACTATAATGCTGGCGGCAAAGCAACGACAGATTATGGCCAGACTCATAAAGCTAGGTGGGCAAGCTAGCAATGACATTGCAGGAACCTACAGGGCTATTGTCTACCCCTGTCTACACTATGGCTAGAGCTACGAGCTGGAGTACTAAGTGGTTTGGGCTCAAGGCTATAGAGCTTTTAGTGCTACTATTGCTTTGGTCCTAACCCTCAGCTGTGTGCAAGTGGTGCCATTGGCCCCAATGACACAGCTGTGAGAACTCCACATTTACAGGAAACAAAGGGTGAGGTGGGTTGGGATAGAAAAAGTCTCAGCACTGTACTGTGGCTCTATTAGCCATTCTGTAGGTTACATTTCCACCATTGCTCTGGTGCGTTGGAAGAAGGAATGAGTCCTCTTCAAGAGGAGAGAGGCTCTCGTTCCTTTTTCTTTCTTTAGGCGCACACTTGCCTCTACTTTATGCTCTCGGACTATAATGCTGGCGGCAAAGCAACGACAGATTATAGCCAGACTCATAAAGCTAGGTGGGCAAGCTAGCAATGACATTGCAGGAACCTACAGGGCTATTGTCTACCCCTGTCTACACTATGGCTAGAGCTACGAGCTGGAGTACTAAGTGGTTTGGGCTCAAGGCTATAGAGCTTTTAGTGCTACTATTGCTTTGGTCCTAACCCTCAGCTGTGTGCAAGTGGTGCCATTGGCCGCAATGACACAGCTGTGAGAACTCCATGGTGCTCCATGCTCGGAGAGAGAGTTGGATTGGAACGATCCGTGCCATGGAAGGTTCCACGTGCAACTCTCAAGCCGGGTAGACAGAGTAGACTCAGGCAGAGTAAAAGGCTACTCTGGAGTAATGAACTGCTACAAGCTCTGATTGCTGTAGACAGACAGAGTGGTAGCAGAGAATTCAGTAGTAGGAAATCGGTTGGATTGCTAAATACAGCTTAAAACTACCCTATGCCAATGGGGCACAAGTTTGGAGTAGTGTGGGGCCGGTGATTGCCCGAAAAGGAATATGCTGTGACATCTTGAGAGATAGGCCTGTGGAGAAGGCACTAATCTGCTCATGAATATAGCAAAGAAATGTGTTGGAGCGCCAACGACCTTGAATTTGGATGGTTAGTGGATCCACACCATTCAAATGCATGGCCATTGCTCCTCCAGCTCGGAGCGAATGGCTGCTAATATCTCGCTTCGTGTACCCCATTTCTGGAGTATACAATTGCAGGATGGCAGCAGCGTCCTTGAGGGTTGTGTTGATCTCGGTTGGAGAAACATAGTAATGGGACAGATTTCGACTGATATAGTATGTGTAGATTGGTGTGTCAAGACCACCACCATTGCTCATAATGTGATAAATCCGTCGTGCTAGTGCTTTGACGGGCTGTATCTGGTTCCAGTGCATTCTTGACGGATGAGAGCTCCTTTGACACCTTCTTTTGGTTGGGATCGAATGGTGGCTTCGGTAGCTTGGAGAAGGAGTGGGATTGACGCCGTATGGGGTATACGATGATGGTTGCTATCTTTGAGGATGACATCACCGACACGGAAAGGAATGGTTTGCTTCGTTCCTTGGCTTTTGGGTGGTTTTGTGTACTCTCCCACACGAAGGAGGAAATAGAAAGCTATGCAGACCAGGTCCGCAATGGCAAGAGCTTTGGCTTTGCTCCTGGCAGTCTGCTTTCAGCGTGGGGAGGGAGTAACACGTTGATAGTTTGTGGCTTCATCCAAAATTGTTTCAGTAATGGAAACTGAACAGCATAGTGAGGCTCAGTGGGTGGGTCTTCTTTGGTGTACCCACGCAGTTGACGCTCTAGGAGCTTTTTGTAGTGTTTCCTGGAGCCATCAATGTGTGTGGGCGGGCTTAGGCCAGCCAGTTGGAAGGTCGTTGCAATGGCCGCAAGCGCATCTTTGACAGAGCCAACTCTGACTCGATGGCCACGACCTGCCCCGCCATGTCGAATTGCTTCAGCATAGGCATGTAGCCATTGGACTTGGTCATGGTCGTGCATTGGTCCTTGAACTGTTGCTTGGAGAAATGGGTCCAAGTCACGTTCTTGGCACCAGCATTCCCAATGATTCCAATATCGACGCTGGAGCTTGGCAGTCGCATCCACGATGCCGTTGGCTGCGGCTTGCGCAGCAGAATGGAAAAGACGCGCTGTTGGAGCTTGTTGTGGAGGCGGAAGTTGAGCCAAGAGGCTCCCTGTGTGAGGGGGAACGAATCATTGAAACGGGCAATAAAGGTGAGATCATCAAGATTGAAATTGCCCTTGACACCAGTGTCCCGAAAAGACCTGCTGGCTAGATCTGCCTGGGGGTTGTCTTCGCCTCTGATTGATAATGGAATCAGAGGAGATGCCTTGTTTTGAAACAGTCGCAGTGCCAGAGCCCGGGCAAGTGCTGGCCTACCACAGACTTTTTGCTGCTCATTTTGCTTGTCCAGGAAACCGCTGAAGTATTGTCACACCATAGAGCTGTATGAGTGTGTGCCATGGGGACAAGTTGCTCCAATAGAAGGTATGCCAGGAGAACCCCTGTCATCTCCAGATCATTGATTGTAAGATAGCCATTTAGTTCATCATGAAATGCATCCACGACTTCTTCAGGCCACTGCACTCGCCAAACCAAAGGGGGATTTGCTGGTGGCCTGATAGCCAAATCCCTCCAGCGCCATATTTACAGGCGTCACAAAAGCCTATGTAGGCAGGGAAATTTGGGACCAATTGGCGGCAGTCAATGGGCTCGTCCACCATGGCTCTGAGGGCTTGTTGGCAGTCCAGGAGGGCCTGATGTTGGGGGGACTGTGGATGGATGTGCACTTTGCCACCTGGGTTTGCACTTTTCAGGCAGTGGTACAATGGAGTGATGAATGCTTGTTTGGTTGGAAAGCCAAGGGTAGCATGCTGTAGTTTCCAACAATGGACTAAACTCTGTAGTGTGCACATGACTTGTGGCGATGAGATTTCGGATCTTCTCTTAGCTTGTG